ACACCCCACTGAAGTCCTCCCCAGACCCCGCCCCTCCTCAGGCTCCACCTCCAAAATATCCAGGTATTCCCTGACCAGTGTTCCCTCTAAGCTGAGCTAGTGCTAGCTAGCTCACAGTTTTTTAGCCTCCGGCTCACACATTTTTCTCTTAGCTCAGGAAGGGATGGCTCCAGAGCAAACTAATTCATGCAGGAGCCAAATAGTTCACTCACAACTTTAATGCCAGCAGCTCACAAAGTAGAATTTTTGCTCACAAGACTCCACAGCTTAGAGGGAACATTGTACCCTGACCTGGAGCTGGCAGCCCTCCTCCCCCTGGTCTCCATAGCTTCCCAGGAGTTTCGCAAGGGCATGCCACCCTGGACTCCTTGCGCTTCACAGCCCTTTGGTCTGGCTGTTTATGTGCTCACGTGTGTAAGGTGCCACTATGCTCATCTTTATTTTTGCTGTGACAGACTGACATGGCTCAGCGTTCACTATTCACTACCTCCGGCAGAATTTCATTTTCCAGGGGGGAGGGGAACCCAAGTATTTATATTATTATTAGTATCAGGCACTCCATGGCACGGTCCTCGGCAATTATACAGAGAGAAGTCATGGGGTTTAGAAGGGGTAACTCTGCATTGCCTTCCCTGCAGTTTAAAAGAAGGTTCACAAAGCAGCTTACAACAGATCTAAAGTATACCATAATAAAAATGACATATGAAATAAGAGTATATAATAATACTATCAGATCCTGAAAAATCTGAGTTAAACAGCTTTAAAAAGCAAATGCTAATAACAGTTTAACAATGCTAACATCCCATATTAGTAAGTAGCATCGTGCATAGAAAACAAATAACATGATGTAAAAGGTCGGCCCTGGTGAGTACATAGGAGGGAGCTTTCTCAGGAAGCCCAGGAGGGTTGCTATGCAGAGGCAGGCAAGGACAAACTACCTCTGAACACCTCTTGCCTTTGAAAATCCTACAGGGTTGACATGAGTTAGATGTGTCTTGATGACAACACGCCCCCTCCCCCTCCGCTAAACCTGTATCTACCCCTAGCCCAAAGACTAGACAGCAGCAGGCAGATTCACAACTAATACTCCAGCTGTGCACAGGGATTACGGCCTCTGGCAAATGGGAGCCCACAAATCCTTCCCGGTTCAGTCGAAGCCTCCCCAAGGAGAAGCTGCCTTTCTGTCCCTCCCACCCGGACTGGAGGCTAAGCTGCCACCTGGTGCTGAGTGCCAAAGCACGGGGGATGATGGGGTGGCAGACAGCGCTGTCCAGTCATGGCCAATCTATGGCAACCTGGTAGTTTTCAAGGCAAGGGACAAACAGAGGTGGGCTTGCCGTGGCCGGCCTCTGCAGAACCACCCCAGACATCCTGGGTCCTCTCCCATCCAGACACCAACCGGAGCCAACCCTGCTTAGCTTCCGAGATCTGACAGGATCAGGCTAGCCTGGGCAGGGTGCATGTTTCTAACAGGGATTATACTTCTGGAGAAATCAAACCGGTCAAAGAGTATTTTTCTGTGACTAAAAAAAGCCTCTAGGAAGAAGCCCTTCTTCGGGGCTTCTGCGCTGAACGGCAGCCGTCTTCCAGAGCCAAGAGATTGTTCTGCCGGAGTCTTTCCCTGCAGCCGGCGTGGTGTTGTGGTGAGAGTCAGGGCAGCCCGTTTCCTGGGAGGCCCTAGGTGACTGTCCGGGGTGCCCGGGAGCGCAGGGGCGGCAGCCTGCTCAGCCACCCCATCCCCTGCCTGGCCGCCCATCCCCAGCACGGGGGGCGGGGGGGGGGAGAGGGACGGCTTCTTGCTTCCCTGCATCCTAGCAGGCAGCAGCCATCTTCCCAGCTCCCCATGGGGGGTAGGGGGGCAGGCACGATGCTCTGGGAGGCCCTGGATCAAATGCCCACTCTGCCAGGGGAGCTGGCGGGAGGACTTTGGGCCAGCCTTAACCCGCCTCACAAGACAGTTGTGAGGATTCAATGGAGGAGGGAAGAACATGGTCAGCCACTTGAGGTGCCACTGGAGAGAAAAGGGAGGCATAAAATAGGTAAATTGTGAATCAATGAAAGCTCAGTCGCCACACCGTGAGCTTCCCGCCTCCATGACGGGGGCAAAAATATTAACTTGCTTCACTGGGCCGTTACAAGGATTACAATACAGGTGAAGCACTTTTAGAACATCCAATGTGCTATTTAAAAGGCACTATTTTCAAAATGCCGTGCTCCAGGAAAGCTTTCCTGAAGTCACATGCGATGGCAGAAACTCCTCCACCACTTGGAAGGCATCGCAGCCCATCGAAATCAAATGCGCAAAGGAGATTTTGTGTGTACATACTACCATCAGTTGTGGACGATACAAAGCTGTGTGCACACGAGGACAAACCAAGACACATAGTTTTCAGATCCCTGAAACAACAGCCAGTTTAGAGTTATCCCGGAGCTTCTTCCACGTGAGCTGTTTTGTCTGGAACTGATATTATTCACTGACAGTTGTTGCACAGAATCCTGAAGAGCCTGCTGCCCAACCAATGTGACCTAGTGTTTTCCGTGATGGTCTCCTACTTTTTCCAGAACTGGTTCAGGGGCAAAGGCTCAGTGGTAAATCATAGGCTTGGCATGCAGAAGGCCCCAGGTTCAATCCCTGGCATCTCAAGATAAGAGGATCAAGGTATTGGGTGATGTGAAAGACCTTTCTCTGCCTGAGACCCTGGAGAGCTAATCAATACTGACCTCGAGGGACCAATGGCCTCATTCAGTATAAGGATGCGCCATGTGTTTACTTGCCCTGACCTGTATAGCCCAGGCTAGGCCTGATCTTGTCAGATCTTGGCTGCTAAGCAGGGTTGACCTTGGTTAGTATTTGGATGGGAGACTTCCCGGGAATACCAGGGTTGTGGTGCAGAGGCAGGCCATGGTAAGCCACCTCTGAGTGCCTCTCGCCTTGAAAACCCTGTGGGGTCGCCAGAAGTCAGCTGTGACTTGACTGCAAAAAAAGAAAATGTGGTTATTTAGAGAACAGAATGCTCCCTGTCCAGGGAACCGGCCTGAAGCAGCTTACAGAATAAGACATAATAAAAACATAACATTAAAAATTAAAACCCAGCATTAAGAAATCCAACCAGAGCATAAAAGCAGAGATCATTCAGCAGCTTAACAAAAGTTTGCAGATGAAAAGGCGGGTTGCTGTGTTGGTCTGAAGCAGCAGAACAAAGTCTGAGTCCAGTGGGGCACCTTTCAGACCAACGAGGTTTAATGCTGGGTCTAAGCTTTCAGGTGCAGGCACACTCCTCCAGGTATCTGCATGCACATGAATGCGTATACCCAGAATTAAAGTTCGTCTCAAAGGTGCCACTGGACCCAAACTTTGTTCTATTAAATGTTAAAGGATCAACCCATTTTGGACCAGCTGAAGATTCTGGACTGTCTTCAAAGGCAGCCCCCACAAAGGAGCCCATCATAGTAATCTAAACTGAATGTAATGAAAGCCTGGACCGTGGTGGCCAGATCAGACTTTCTGAAGCACCACTATAGCTGGCATATCAGCCAAAGAAGCAGCAAGACACTCCAGCCAGAGGACAGAACCAGCGGCACCTCCAGGTTATGAATGTACTTTGTCAGGGGGAGAACAACCCTCTCCAGGACAGGGCCGGCTCCTCAGACCTTGAGCAGCAAAACCATTGATCGACAGCACCCCACTCTTGTCCGGATTGAGCCTCCATTGACTTGGAGTGGCGCTGCGGTGCTCCCTTGTCCCATGTGGAAGGGCAAAAATCACACCCTGGGGTGGCAACTTGGGAAATTCTTCTAGATTTCGGGTGTGGGTTGAGGGTGGGGTTGAGTCTCACTTGGACTCAAGGAAGATTGTACTGACTCACTCTGGATTATCAACACAATGGGACATTAAATAAATACTGCAATAAGAGTAGGGTTGTAGAACCAACCAGGAATCTAAAAAACAGAACTGAAGCAAAGTGCAGGTATTACCATGATATGCTATAGATGATTCACTGCCCTTTCCAAATACATTAAATACCACACTGCCCTTTCCAAGTATGTCACAGTGTACAGTGGTACCTTCATCCGTTATTTTTAGCCGTTTGGGAGAGCAAAGACAAAACCAGATCAAGGTATGTTTAATGAAAGGGCCAGTTACATAAAGGAGAAGAGAAGCTAAAGTTTCGGGGAGGGGGGGCTGCTTAATGCTAATTTAAATTGATTCACCAGTGGTGATATTGTGCAATGTTACACCTATGGAACTGGAGGTAAGCCCAGATGATTCTTGACAGACTGGGAAAATAAGACACGAAACAACCCTCCAGAAACGCCTAAATTCAGAGGCATAGGGCTATTCTGCATTCTCATTTTCTCATTATTAAAATTTGTGGATTGCCCAATCCCTGCTACTGTAGGGCTCTGGGCAATGTACATTTGATAAAACATCAAAACCGTAGAATAAAATACAGAAACAGTACTACTACAGTAACTCTGAAAGAATCAGATGGCGAAGTTTCACAATTTCTTCTCTCATTAGCAGCCCGGATAAGCCCCTCACTCTGGTGCCACAAATCCGCCCCCTAAGGGAACCCACGATTGGCACCTGCCCACCAAGAAGAGACTAAAACATATTTCAGTCCCTTGGCATATTTTAAAACTCTGGTCTGCACTTAAGGAACACGGCAGCTGAACTGGCACCAGCAGACAACTTTCAGTCTTAAAAGAACAGTTCAAATGGACCACAAAACCAGTTGCAGCCTCTTGAGATGGAAGATTGGATTCTCTCGGAAAGGCCAGCAAATCCGTTCGCCTTTGTTATTAGTAAACCAATCATTCTGTTGAGAGATTCTGGTGTCTAAAAGACCTTAGGAATCAGAAATACTTTGCTTTTGTCCACAATGCAGGTTCTGTTACTAATTTTTAAAGACTCCTTACCCATATGAATCTTTGGACAACAAGACCTTGTTTTCTTAAAAAAGAATTTATTGAAAGGTTTTTTTAAAACAGATCTCTGGAACAAAAATACTAGAACACTCCACATGTGAAGTTCACAGCCTTGCAGACATATATGCAAGATAATAAAAAATCCCTGACATTGCTGCCCTTTTACAACAATGCTGCAATAAAGGTGCTCCCAATGACAACTGCTCATGCCAAAGAACTCAGCTGGCTGAAGTGCAACCGACCCGTTGGCTGCCGCACACTGAGGCTCCCCTCCCAGAGTCCAGTACCACTGGCAAATTCAGGCCATGCCATCTGTCAAAGCGGCATCACACCGTGGGGCAGTGGATGGCAAGGGTGTCGATTCCCAGCCTGACCTACTTTTATGCACACATGCGTGCATTTGTGTGTGCCTGGTGCATGTGCCAGGCCCCACAGTGAAGACAAGCTTTGGAGGGCTGTTCACTGAAACGCAGGGATGTACACAGATGACATAAGAAGAGACTCAGAGACACCCGCAGAGTGGTCCAGAAGAGCTGCTTCTTAGAGTGGTCGGCCTCCCATCCCGCATGACGTTTCCCAGAGAGCAGTCACCGTCCTGCAGAAAACGTCCCTCCGCACCTCAGTTTCTGCTGCTGTTCTTACAGCATCGCAACCAAGAGTTCCTTTTGCTTTCATGTTTCTTCCTGCATTCCTTTCTGGGGTGGGATTGTTAGCCAGCATTTAAGAAATCCCACGGGGGAAAGAAAGGCAGGAGAGCCTTTGAAAGCAAGAGGAACGCAAAATGGATTTTCCGGACCATGGAATGTTTTGGAGAAGCTGGACTGTGCGGAGCAAGAGGAGCGTCTACACTGCCGTGGGAAGTCCACCGGGTCATTCTTCGCCTCCCACTCCACAATCACCCTTCTAGTTCCAGGAGCCTTTGCCGGGTCTGAAGCACGACCTCCTCCATCACCTCTGCCTTCAGAAGGTCCTTGATCTGTGATTTAAAAAGAACAAAGAAGATGGCATACGCAAGCCTTCGCCACATGTTGCACATGGTACATGCATGAATGCAGGCCCACTGTTGGCAGACCAGGGTGGGCGGCTGGGAAGTGCCCTCATCCTGTTCACGCCAAACATACATTTTCCCCTTCTGTGCTTAGCTCCTGGGAGCCCTCTAAAGTTTTTCTGGATACTTGAATTTGAATAGGGAAAGCTGGCTGAGGATGGCACCAGTCGGCCAGTAGCTGTAATGTCACGGACAGAGAGGGGATCCTAAAGCACTAAGTGTTTTTCAAATATACTTGGGAAGTTTTGTTTTTAATCAATTAATCAGTTTTGTTTTTAATCAACTGACAACTCTTGCAAGCATGGGTCAAAAAAGGCAGAAAGCTGACATAAAGCTTCGAGGGCTGTGAAGTGGGGCCACATTCAAGCTCATACCCCAAGTGAAAAGCCTGCTGCTGTGACTGCTGTTGAGATGCTATGTAACGATGGGACACTGTTTGCACAACCTGGCCTTCCACCAAACATTCACCCTGTTAGGAGGATGCAAAATGGCCACCGATCACACACTGCTGATGTCTGCACATGAGGCTGGGGGCATGCAATGAGTCTGGAGCTCATTAGGCTGGGGGCATGAAATTTAGCTGCAGCTGACAAAAGCAAGAGGTAGGTGGGCTGGATAGAGCCCCCTGCATTTATGAAACCGTCCACAAGTAGAACCTCAGTATAACGGAACAGATTGGGGGGAGGGTGGGTTTCCTATAAGGGATAGTATTGTAGTCTGTTAAGACCAATGATCCATCTAGTCCAGCATCCTGTCTCACACAGTGGCCAACCAGTTCCTCTGGAGGACCAACAACACGGCAGAGAGGCCAAGGCCTTCCCCTAATAAGAACATCAGAAGAGCCCTGCTGGATCAGACCAGTGGTCAGTCTAGTCCAGCTTCCTGTCTCACACAGGAGCCAACCAGTTCCTCTAGAGGACAAACAACACGGCAGAGAGGCTGAGGCCTTCCCCTGATAAGAACATCAGAAGAGCCCTGCTGGATCAGACCAGTGGTCCGTCTAGTCCAGCTTCCTGTCTCACACAGGAGCCAACCAGTTCCTCTGGAGGACCAACAACACGGCCGAGAGACTGAAGCCTTCCCCGATAAGAACATCAGAAGAGCCCTGCTGGATCAGACCAGTGGTCCGTCTAGTCCAGCTTCCTGTCTCACACAGGAGCCAACCAGTTCCTCTGGAGGACCAACAACACGGCCGAGAGACTGAAGCCTTCCCCGATAAGAACATCAGAAGAGCCCTGCTGGATCAGACCAGTGGTCCGTCTAGTCCAGCTTCCTGTCTCACACAGGAGCCAACCAGTTCCTCTGGAAAGCCAACGACAGGGCAGAGAGGCCGAGGCCTTCCCCTGACATTGCCTTCTGCCACTGAGATTCAGAGGTTTAGTGCCTCTTGTCCTCCATGAGGCTATCTGATCCCCTCTTAAAGCTGTTTATTCCTGTGGCCATCACAACCTCCTCTGGCAGCGAATTCCACATTTTCATCACACTCTGTGTAAAATAGTATTTCCTTTTGTCCGTCCTGAACCTACTGCCCATCAATTTCATTGGATGCCCTCAAGTTCAGGCATTTTGGGAGATGGAGAAACAGGTCTTTGTCAACTCCCTCCACCCCATCCATAATTTTAATCTATTAATCACTTCCCTTTGTACTGCAATTGTAACCCTCTTTCTTCATTCTGCTATGTCGTGCCTCAGACAGTTTTCATTGCCTTTGAGTGGCTTATGTTGCTTTGTTCCCAGTTCTGGAACCTGAGTCCTCCTACATTGTTTCAGGGAACTATTTGCTGCACAACTGAATTGCTTTTCATATTTTGCCATCTGCCTTGAGTCTCAGTGTGAAAGAATGGCTATAAATGATCCTCACCATCAAGTGAAATTTTGAAAAAACTGGAAGCTTTAAACCTTTTGCAACCACAGGGGCTGCACTGTAGCTTCAAGGAGCAGTGCACTCTTTGCCCGCAAACATCCTCAGCTCAGCCCTGCCTTTTCCTGTGAAAGAACCTCCCAAGGCAAGGCTGCGGAAACCTCTTTCCAGAGACCAGGGACAGCCACTGATAGCCAGAATCAGTCAAGCCCACATGCTGACCACAGGGGGCAGTTTGAGAAGCAAGGGAGAGAAAGGGAGAGGCCGTGGCTCCGTGGTAGAGCAACTGCTTGCCATACAGAAGGTCCCAGGTTCAACCCCCGGCATCTCCAGTTGAAAGGTAGCGGGTGATGGGAAAGAGCTCAGCCTGAGGTCCTGGAGAGCTGCTGCCAGTCTGAGTAGGCGATACTGACCTAGATGAAGCCAGTGCTCTGATTCAATATTAGGCAGCTTCTTCATGTGTTTGTGTGGAAATACGGGGACATTCTTAACTACCGCATTCTACTGGGAGGGGCCATCACTTGGTGGGAGAGCACCTGCTCTCTACGCAGAAGTGCCCAGGTTCAGTCTCCCAGAGAAAGGTCTCAGGCGGCAGGCGTTGGGAAGGGCCTTCCTCACTGGAGAGCTTTTGCCACCGGAAGCAAATAGTACTCATCTTCCTGTTTGTGGGCTTCCTAGAGGTAGCTGGCTGGCCACTGTGTGAATAGAAAGCTGGACTAGACAGGCGTTGGGTCTCCTCCAGCATGGCTGTTCTTATGTCACCAGGTGGGCCGTCAGGCTGGCTCAGTAGAAGTTGGCTTCTGATGTTCTCCAAGGGCCACTGTTCTTACACAATGATGCTGGAACTGGCATAAGTTGCTGCACTGATTATTAGCTGCAGAAAAAGGGTGAAGGAACTTCAAACTCACCACCGTTCTTATGCCTGGGGACCTGTGGAGAGCTGTGACGACCACAAGCTCATGCCTTGCACAAGGAACAGCCAAAGAAGCAAATAAGACCCCCTCCCCATCCCACAACGGAGCAGCTCTCCTAGCAGTGCCTGCTATATGCTCTGCCTAAAAGGCAGAGAAGTGAGCGCATGTGTGAGCGCGTCAGCAAGCCAGCAAGGTGAAGCAAGTGCTGATCGCAGGCCGCTACCTGATGGGAGAGGGATGCCTCGTAGCAGTACACGATGCTGGTGTCGTAGAGCATCAGCTTCTGTGCGACCAGAGCCAGGATGCAGTTGCGGAGGCGGGAAATCACTTCTCGGTCGGGCAAGGGGACTGGCTGGAAAGGGGGGCAAAGAGACCGAGCATGAGACCACCGGGGACAAAAGCAGGGAAGTTCATGCCGCAAGGGGACTGGCTGGAAAGGGGGACAAAAGCAGGGAAGTTCATGCTGCCCCATACATTTGTTAGAAAGAGAATCCTGGAGCGGGAGATTTCAGGGAGAAGGAGGATTTCCAAATTGTCACCCCCCCATGGCTCCATGTATCCCCCCCCCCAGCTTGTATAACTCTGTCCTCCTTGCACTCCAACCAGGTTCTGTTATGCTGAGACAGCTCTCCAGCCCAGGGTCTCCAGGCCTCACCTCCAGATTGGTGACGAAGCCCCCAGCCTCTTCGTCCTTCTGTCCAGGAGTCGGGTAGATCCAGATGAACCCGTTGTTGCCAAGGATGACGGAGGCCCCGCATGGCAAGTCATGGAAGTGAGTCTTCTGCCGCTTCACAAGGGACGGGGAAACCTGGACGAGCACTCCCTGGGCAAGCTGAAGAAGAAGAAGAACAGCAGGACTCGATGCAGGACAGCACTCATCTTTCAAGTGTTCATACTCTGGGCAGGATAATCTACGACTGCCACCTGCACTGGCAGAGACTTATCAAACACAGGAGACAGAAACCCCAAACATCTCCAATCACATAAACTCTAAAATCCAAATTGGGGGGGGGGGAGGAATTAGAGGAACTTTGCTGCAAAAAGTTTTAAAAAAACAGGTTGCTTCCTGAAATCAGGAGTGGACATTTTTCTAATAACCCAAAAAGATAGGAGAGCTTCACAATCTCTCAATCAGAGCCCAGAAAAGTCAACATTCAAGAGGCCACAAATGCTTCTGACGGAATGAAAACAAGGGGCTTTTCCTAATTCTCATTTTCCATGCTTGGGGGTTCCTGTTGCTTTGAGCCTGTTCTGCATGTGTTTTGCTCCCTCTAGTGGTTGAATTGATATTATATCACTTCATGTCTGGCATATCTCCCTGTAGACTTAAAATGGCAGGTTTTTATGCTGGATATGCAGCAATGTAATATCGAATTGACTACTAGAGGGAGCAAAACACATGTGGAACAGGGGGAAAAAACCCTGAAGCAACCGGAACACACAAGCAAGGAGAATGGGAATGCAGAAAAGCCCAAGGTTTTCCAGGAATACCCTGTTTATTTTTTGCTTCAAGGCTTTTTTACACAGCTTTCCCTCTGCAAATTGCTGCTGGTATCTGGTCCTAGTTTTTCTTTTTTTAAAGCACCCAAGTACCTGTGAAAGGTTTGCGCTGTGTGGCCAACTAGCCCCTGCACTGACCACTGCCTGAAGGTAGCAAATGCAAGGGCGATACGAACAAATGCAAATGCATTGCTTACAGGTAACGAACACCATTGCAATGTGATTCACATATCATAAAAACAACATCACCCAACTTAGCGACCTCCTCTACCAGATGCAGGGAGTGGTCAGTGAATGGAGGAGGTCCCCAACCACAGCAAGCCATTTAAAAAGTTGACTTACCTTCCCGTATTTCAGACTACGGGTATGCAGCGATACAGCCCCATCCGAGAATACTGCCTGGACCTCTGCCTGTCAGAATCGCTTAAGGAAATCAAAGGCACACGGTTTGCATTTCCAGAACACCTCTGGCCATCTAGGCTCTCTCTTGCCATTCAGCTCCCATTCATGTCAGAGGGGTTTGTGATGGAGAGCTTCCAGGGGGTTCCACCAGATCTGCTTCTGCTATTCTGTATCTGTCTGATGCTCCCAAAGTAGCTTCATTCCTCCATTCCCAGAGAGCATACATGCACTCCTATGGACCATAGGTATGACCTTGAAGGCCCAGCTTAAAGGGTGCTCACCCATGATTGAGTGACTCCCCCATTCCCAGTTCTGGAGAAACCATGGCTATGACCAGATCAACTGAATGCTGCAGCAAGATGAGAACAAGCCTGTGCTTATCCATCTAATCTGCTCTTTCCTGAAATTAAGACATGAAGCTACTTTATATCGGGTCAGGCCGTTGGTCATCCATCAGCACAGCATTGCCTGCTCTGACTGGCAGCAGCTCTCCTGGGTCTTAGCAGAGAACGGCCTCTCTAGACATCAGCTGGCCAAGATCCTTAAAACAGGAGGTACCCTCGCTGCACACACACAACGTGAGCTCCACCACTAAGCCACAGCCCCTAGGCCGAGGGAGGATACGCTGATGAGGTCTCCCTCTTGCAGGTAGTCTCTCATGGCGAGCTCATCTTCCGCCGACCTTCGCCTCTGCCAAACACCAAACCAACAGAGGTTCTATTAGGTAAATCCAGCCACCAAGTCACATCACAGCTTTTAGTATTTTTAAAAAATCAATCTAAAAGGCTAGGTTAACTTTTTTCAGCGGCAGAACTGAACTTCCCTGCCTCCCCCTCCCACAGATCTCTACCCAGCGCTCCTCCTGGGCGACAGTGGAATGACATAGGTGGGAAGGGGAGATCTGCAGCGGGAAGGAAACGAGCAATTCAGTCTGGATCCAACCTTTTACCCGATAGGGCCACAATTCTCAGTGCTTCCCCTCCTGAATGGGACTGATGTCACAATTCTCAGTGCTTCCCCTCCTGAATGCAATGGGACTGATGCGCAGAATGGCCCTTTTTGTTGGGATGGGGAATGCAAACAGCACCAGCCTCCACAGGTTCCCTCCAAAGCGAGTCCCTTGGAGTTCAGCTGGGCTTCCTCGCCAGCCAACACGCACAGGCCGGCAGCCAAGGGAGGTCAAGATGAGCCGAGCCTAATCTGTCCCTTCCCACCCCTGTCCGGAGCCCAGAAGACCTGGGGCTGGCCAGAAGCTGCATGGGAGCTCAGGGTGTGCTCCAAGCGACACAGAGGAACTACCCATCAATGACAGGCGCTGCCATCCAACAAGGAAATGTTAAATGGCCCCTTATGGCGTCCTTTGCCTAAATACGCATACAGACAATCATCTGAAAGCCAAACGAGCCCTCTGTCTTCCAGGGATGCATCCACTCCGGAGAGGCATTCCCTCCTGACAGAGAGAAGGGGAAAAACCTCTTTGAAGATGGCAAGGAAAAGAGGCATCTCCTCCTGGGCAACAGCGGAAATGTCTCCTCCACGGCAGCACTTGCCAGCTGCAGACAGAAGCAGAAGTAGTCATTTATCTAAAACAATCACTGACCGCCTTCGTTCCTTACTGAGCTCAAGGAGGCTTACAACCAGTGAGCCTCTGGCTCACACATTCTTGTCTTCGCTCAGGAAGGAGGGCTCCAGAGCAAACTAATTGATGCAGCAGCCCAATCGCTTGCTCACAGCTTTAATGCCAGCAGCTCACAAAGTAGAATTTTTGTTCACAAGACTGCACAGCTTAGAGGGAACATTGCTTACAACATTGGTGAAATACATCCAACAAAATACATAAGAAGCATAACGCCCCCAATGAGCCTCTTTGATTGGCGGGACAGTCAGGAGGGCCTCTCCCAGGGATCTCAATTCCCAGGCAGGAAGACAGGGGGGAGAAGACGGTCCTTCAGATATTCATGTAGTCACCTGAAAGGTCAAAACTGACACCCTGAGTTGGGCTCAGGAGTGGATCAGCAGCCAGGGTCATCACTGTAATATTGGGGTCACATGCTCCAATCAGCTGTCTGGCCACAGCGTTTGGTACTAGCTGCAGCCTCTGAACACGAAGTCTTCAAGGGGAGCCCCAAGGAGAGCACCTTGCAATAGTGAAGTCTAGATGCAACTAAGGCATGGATCACTGTGGCTAGATCTGACCAAGCCAGGAATGCATGCTGCCAATGCACCAGCCAAAGTTGGGCAAAAGCACTCCAAACCACAGCAGCCAACTGGCTTTCTAAGGCGACTGCTGTGTCAAGTAGCACTTCTAAGTGGCAAATCTGGTTTTTTGAGGGGAATGTAACAGAAGAAATCCCTGACGATGCCTCATTGAATCCCACTTCTAAAGTGATCTAAAGATGTTTCATTTGACTGGTCTAATCAACTGCCTGCACAAATTACATTTCGGTTCCTTTTACCATGGGTCATCTGTATTGCTTTATTTTCCTATTTGCTTTTAGCTAGTCATACAACTGTATTATGGTTTTTGTACTGATGTTCTCCTTCAGTGGGGCGAAGTCATCCGAACTGGTCAGGTCACGCCTCCTCTCGCTCCAGGCGGGGCTATGCAAATTTGTGCGGACTGTCTTGGCTCATAGTGAGGCTGACCCTCCAGACCTTTAAGACAAGCCTCTCCCGCTTGAGGTCCCAGCAGGCACCGGAGGCTGGCCGACGGCAGAAACATCTACAGTGCTGGAGACTGGCACAGGCCTCTGCCAGACCCGAGGCTTCGGGTCGTTTCTGCAGCCGGCCCCCAACTGCACTGGGGAAACCCAGCAGAGCTCGACTGGGTCCAGCGACCACGAGGCAATCGCAGCGTCTGGCCTGCCCCAGACAGACTCGGAGACTTCCAGGCCTACAGGGAGTAAGCAGGCTGGAGCTGAAGGTCAGATCCCCCCCCCCCCAAGCCTTCTCTGAGGTCTTCCCCAGCATGGTTTCAGCAGTTTAGGGAAATTCCAATAGGGTGGCTGCTCAGGGTTTTCCCCGCACTTTTTCTGCCCTCCCCTTTAGGCCTTTAGTCTGGCCTGGACCTCCCCCAGCCCTGTGCGTGTGCAACCAGGAATCAGGTTGGCCTTTGCGGGGCTAAGGGTACCTGGCCAAGCAGTGGCTGTGGCTGATCTCGCTGATAAGGGCACGAGCAGCGGCAACATCAGGAGCTTTTGAGAGCTAGTCAAAGAGATGTCCCCCTTTCTCCCTCACCACCCATGTCAGGCTTGGGTTCAGGGGTGGAGGAGCTCTTTTCAGCCACAGGATATATGACAACAAGCTCTGATAAAGAGGAAGGGGAATGGTCGGAAAATTCTCCTAGGCCTTTCCGGCTGGAACATCTCCAGAGATTTACGAAAGAAAAGGAAAAAAAATGCCTTTGCCTTTTCTTAACTACCATTTGGATACAAAAAACAAACACACCCTAGATCATCAGCTTCATCTAATTTAGATACAAGAGGGTCCTAGAAACCATCCAAAGGGTCCTCAAAATTGTTCATCTCCAAATTCTTTGATTACATACTAAAGGCGGAATGGGCAGTTCCAGGCAATGACACTTTCTTGCGGGCACAGGGGGATGCTCCAGTAGTAGTCTTACATTAAGGAGCAGTTTTGCCTAAGGCTGTGGCCAACACATGTAACAATTCAGGGGATAAAAATATTAATAATTATGAGACACTCCTAGGGGATCCCCTGAAGCAGCCTCTCTGACGATCTGAGCCACCTGCCACGCTCTCAGATTTTTCCAGGACCATCTTGATTTGGGCCACTAACCTCCTTCGGGAGCCCAATAGTGACCCCTTGATGCTTCAGAGATTCATCCTAAAGGTTAAAGGGCTGCAAAATTTGCAGCAGATGCATCCTAAGAGGCCACGCAGTTCAGTGCCAGAGCACGGGCCACCAGTACAGTGGTAAGAATGAACCTATGGCTAAATCATTGGAAGGTGGACCCTCTGTCTATTTTAGATTCATCAGCATTTAAAAAAATCAGGAACAAAAGGGCTTTAGATGCTCCCACACCTTTGGCTATAGGTCCAGATTCCAACAGAGACAGCTCCCTCCTAACAAACAGGACAGGAACCAGCAAAACGAAGACCAACCACCTGATTCTATGGTTGGGGGTCAATTCCAGCAGCTTCCTCACTTTCGTGCTTCCCCACTTCCCAAGACAGAACAGAGACACCTTTTCTTCTGTTGTGGCCTATTCAAATTGAAGGCACGTAGGGACAGTGGAACCAGTGCCCTTAAAACAGCATTTCCATGGGATTTGTTCCATTCCATTTGTAGTCCCAAAAAGAGCCAGGGACTGGAGAGCAATTCTAAATTTAAAAAGAGTTGAAGCTCTGGGTATTTGAAGAACTGAGCAGTGTCTCACGAAAGCTCACACCCTGCCACATAGCTTGTTAGTCCTTAAGGTGCTACTGGGCTTTTGCTCTTTTCTACGGCTACAGACTAACATGGCTGCCCATCTTGATCTATGGGTAAAGAAGCACAAGTTCCAGTTTAAAATCTCTTCACTGCATTCTGCAGAGTAGTCAGCAGGACGATCATGTGATGTCCTTCGGCCTTCAGGATGTTTACCTGCATATTCCACCTTCCAGACAGTCGTTCCCTTTTTGATTTTCAGGGCCAGCATTTCCAATACAAGGCCTTACCCTTTGGGCTGACATAATCTCCAAGGGTGTTTGCCAAGGTCCTGGTAGTTCTATTAGCCTACCTACGACAACAAGGAATCCACTTTTATCTTTACCTGGACTATATCCTCCGCGGTACCTAGGCAGCAAAGGTGAGCTAGGACACCAAGTCCATTAGGCAATCTCTTCAGGCACAAGGATGCCTGATTGATGTGTTAATAATAATATTAATAATCTCACACCCTCCAGGGACATAGTCCACTTAGGGGGCCAGGATTCAGATGAGGATAGCCAAAGTGTTTCCACCTGCAAAGAAGCAGGAAAAATTGTCGGAAGGGGTGAAAGAGATCCAGCAGATGTTGGTGGACCTCATGCACTGGTTGACAGTACTGGGACTGAGGATGTAGTCCATAGATCTGATTCCTTGGGCCTGCTTCCATGCCAGGCCTTTACAATGGACTCTTCTCCTTTGTCAGAAGGACACACACACGCACACACAAAAGGGAGCACAGATGTCAAGATACTGCTCCCCCCCCCCACACACACACAAAGAAGTCACTAAACTAGTGGTCTTCACAACCAAATCTGACAAGGGGAGTCAGTTTCCTCCAGCCTCCTTACCTACTGGCAGTTATGGCCACTGGCAGTAGAGGCCGGGGAACACACTGCAAGGATGAGATTGTCCAAGGCAGATATGAACAGTATGGACTGGCTGGAACTTGTGGCAGTCAGACTAGCATTGCGTGCTTTCCAAATCCTATCGAGGAAGAGGTATGTGCTAGGGAGCACAGGCAATACTACGGCCAAGTCGCACAGCAATTGGCAAGGAGGCACCAGATCGATGGTATTCCTCCATGAGTTCAAAATCCTGTTTGGGCGGGGGGGAGGGGGGATGGTAGGTCTAAAAGGGGAACACCTTTACGTTCCTGCAAACCGCCAAGCCAACTGGCTGAGAAGGAAGGAGTTAGATCCAGGAGAATGGAGTCTACACAAAAAGATCTTCTAGCAAAATCACACTTGGATCCTTTTTGCAACATCAAACTATAACCAAGTTTCCAGGTTTCTAATCATTTCCTGTGATTCCAGGGCAGAGGCCAAGGGCACACGCACTTGTTGTAGACGCGGTGGTCTGCTGTACACTTTTCCTCTGACCACACTGATCAGCTGAGGCCTGAACGAAGTGTCAAAGGAGACAGCGGAGGTGATTTTCATATCTCCTTCCTGGCACAGAAGTTTTTGGGTCTCAAAGCTAGTGAAGAGGTCAGTGTCTCCACCGTGGAGATTGCCAAGTGATGGGTTCTCCTTGTACAAGAATCCACTCGCCACCTGGACCCTGTTTGACTCCAGCTGACAGCTTATCACATTAACCAAGAGTTGATACTACCATCTTTTTGTCCTATACCATGTCACCCCAACGAGAGAGTGGTAGTGGTAGAACAAAATAAAAGTAAGGATGAGGATCCCACCCAGGTTGTAGCTTGGGCATATAACCAGTTTGGATGACTCCCCCTACTGAAGGAGAATGAACCATTGGAACTTACCTGAAGGTTTCTTCTCTTCAGTGGGGCAAAGTCATCCACATCCAACCCAAAATAAAATAAAACAGAATAAAACCTAGTTGGAGGTAAAATCTGTTATGGACTGGAGGGTCAGCATCACTCGGAGCCAACAGAGTCTGCACAAATTTGCATAGCCCCGCCTGGAGCGAGAGGAGGCGTGGCCTGACCAGTTTGGATGACTTCGCCCCACTAAAGAGAAGAAACCTTCAGGTAAGTTCCAATGTTTCATTCTCATTTTTTAAACAGTAGCCACCTTCTTTACATCAGAAAGACAAACAAGAAATCTGCTAAATATAGATTAAAGGTAAAGGTAAAGGTTCCCTTGCTCGAAAGCCAGTCGAATCCGACTCTAGGGTTGCGGTGCTCATCTCCGTTTCCAAGCCGAAGAGCCAGCACTGTCCGAAGACGTTTCCGTGGTCATGTGGCTGGCATGACTAAACACCAAGGCGCACAGAGCGCTGTTACCTTCCCACCGAAGTGGTACCTATTTATCTACTTGCAATTTCTTGCTTTCAGACTGCTAGGCTGGCAGGAGAAATATAGATTACTTATCTTTATTACTCTTATTATCATCTACTTTTATTTATTTACAGTCCGCCTTTCTCACTTGGGACTCAAGGCGGATGACACATGATGATTCAATACAATCGACGGGATGGGACATTCAATGAACAAGGCAATAGGATTAGGGTTGTAGAACCCACCAGAAGCCTAAAAACAGAACTGAAGCAAAGCATAAGTCTTAACATGACACAGTGAAGGATGAAAAACTGCGTAGCGGGATCCTAGTTTCAACAAGCTACGCACAGCAGTACAGACCACAGTCCCTAACCATTTTTCTAAGCAGCAATGCAAGTCTATTGCCTGCGTAGAAAAGGCCTCTTGAATCCTTCGGTTTCACGTCGCTTGCGGAAAGGCAGGAGAGGGGGAGCCTTCCCGACCTCCTCAGGCAGCCCATTCCACAAGGCGGGGGCCACAGCAGAGAAGGCCAGGTGTAGGGGCCGGGATTCCCACTACTGCTGCTGCCTGGGAAGAGGCCAGTTTCCTCAAGGGCAGAGCAGTCGCCCCCTCTTCCGCCCCCTGCCATTCCCACCCCGTGGGTTAGCCTGCCAATGGCCCTGAGCCTGCTTTGGCAGGGAGGGCGGGGTGTAAATCAAATGAATGAATGAATAAGTCGATTGGTTGTGTAGCAACTTGTCCTTTCATTTGATTGTGGAACTGATGGGGTGTGTGTTTTTTTTTATATCACCAGCCTGACTCTACACTGAGCAGAGAAAAGTGGGATAAGAGCGCACAAGCAAGTGCCCCAACTCAAGCCCAACCTTTGCGTGAACCTTCCCCTAAAGAACGGGGTTCCGCTGCCTCCACAGACAGTATTTTTCTTACATCAGAGTGACCTTTTATGTTTAACTTCCTTCCCTTAAAGGGTGGCTGAAACCTGGATTCTGGTCCTGACTTCCTTAGGACACAGACCCTCCCGGAAAGGTCTATGTCGGTGTTGGGATGCCTCCGCTGGCACTGTGGGCCTCTCCAGATCGAACCCTCACGTATCACTCACCAGCTCCCCTCCGGGAAGATTCATAGAAGAAAGAAGCAAGACGGAATCCAGCCGAGAATTTGTTTCAACTTTCCATCGTTTCTGCTGCACCTGAAGGGAAAGAAGTTGTTGTGCGACATTCAGGTTTGTTTTAAATCCACAAGATGTCCTCCCCAGCCTTGGGGTGCCGGCGATGACATCAAGAGTCATTTTGTGGCTACAGATTCTGAGTCGTGCAAGCAGAGCAGCAGGATGTGGAAAGAACTTGCTGACCTCTCTCCTCCCTCGGCACCTTAATACTCCCCCCCACACACACACACACTTACTGGAATTTTGTTCTTGGGGGCCAGTGGACCCCTAGGAATAGCAACAGGGGAGCAGTGGAAGTCTGCAGGGAGATGGGAAAGGAATGATTGAATATCGTTCCCTCCACCCAAGAGCGGAACTGCTGGTTTCCATGGGCAAAAAAAGAGGTTCAGATCTAAGCCACTGAAATTAATACAAGGAACTCAGCAGCATCAGCACCCTGCATTAACGCAAAGGCTCAAGCCCACAGAAAAGCTCATGGGACAACAAATCTTTCGGTCTTTAAGACGACACAGGGCTCTTAGTAAGACGACACAGCATAGCACAGCAGCTAACAGACTGAATTACAACTGCCGAAGTCCATGGTTCAAATATCACTTCTGCCATTTTTACAAGCCACGGAACTCCCTCCCACATATATGCAGATAATCATACCATACAGGATTGTTGCAAAGATGATAAGGTGATGCACAGAAGGTGTTCTGAATCCATTAAAACTTGATATAAATGCTACCATTTAATATCCCAGGCTCCCAATGCTTTTGATTTATTGTTGGTTTAATCTCCCTCGCTCACTCATAAATTCAGGTTAATTACACACTGGGTGCGTTCAGACGGGGGCTTTACATCGGTTAGGGTGCCGGTTCCAATCGTTGTACTTACCGGCGTTCAGACGGGGCACATCTGCCTCCTCTCCCTAACCGGTGTAAAGCCCTTTACACCGTTGCACTCTGCTACCAGGTCCCCAAGTGGTGGTATACAGAGTGCAACGGTGGTAAACGGTGCACCCCGGCGTCTGATCGCTCTCCACCGGTGCCTAGGCATTTCTGTCGGAAGCCTGAGGTTTCCAGCTTTCCCCCGTCATTTTATTTTAACTCTATGCGATATGCGCTCGGGCAAAGCTTCACCCTGAGCATCTGTTAAAATAAACACAAAAAAACTTACTTTACCTTCCCGGAGGAGTCCGGAACTTAAGGGAGGCCAGGTTGGGATTTAAACTTTAAAGGTAAGTCCTTACCTTTAAAGTTTAAATGTAATGGGGGGGGTTGAGCATGCGCAAAAATCGCCATTCTCTGAATGGCTGCCTGTGCGCATGCTCAAACTGCTTTAAAAAAAAAAAAACGCCGACGCCCGCAGCGTATGAGCAGGCGTCCAACAGAGGCATTTGCACGATGGAGGGTGAGTCTGATCGCGTTTCTGCCGGCATAAACTGCACCGGTTCCAACCAGTGCAGTTTATGCCGGCAGAAAGGCCGCGTCTGAACGCACCCACTATGTGTTATTAGAAACAGGCCATGAGCCACTTTGGAGCACACAGATGCTGACATTCCTCACCCCCCATTACCAGAGTCAGCACAGAGGGCAGAAGCTTAAGAGGAGTGCTTACTAAAACACCACACATTTCTAACACACTTATTAAAACCTAGGTACTGTATCCAAATAGGAATGTGGCCAGCCCCCGAGCCAATTGGGACAGTAGTTTAACAGGGCGACCAACAGATGAGGTAGGGGATTCCACAGGCTCCAAGGGATCACTGAAGTTTGCATTTTTGTAATTATTATTATTTCGCCACTAAATTGCAGCAGACTCATGGCAACCCCGTAGGGTTTCAAGGCAAGAGACATTCAGAGGTGGTTTTCCACTGCCTGCCTCTGCACAGCAACCCTGGACTTCCTTGGTGGTCTCCCATCCAAACGCTACCCAGGGCCAGCCCTGCTTAAGTTCCAAGATCTGCCGAGATCAGGCTAGCCTGGGCTTTCCAAGTCAGGGCAACCTATAGATTAAAACTGTTGGCAGAGTTCAGGAAACAACCCGATCCACGCTTTGAGTTTGAGAATTTACTGCCACAAGATTTTGCAAAAAAGAACAGCTGACTGCTGGCCAATAACACAACAGAAAGAGGCCTTCAGAGCACAAGCACATACTAACACACTTCAGAGAAAGAAACAACAACAGGTAGGCTAAGCTGCGACAGAAAACATTCAATAGACTCTAAACCAGGGGTATCAAATATGTGGCCCGCAGGCCGGATCAAGCTGTCGGAGGGCTCGAATCTGACCTGCAAGAGCCTGTTTCCTGTTTCCTTCTCCAGTTCTTCTGCTGCTGCCACGTCACAGCTTGCTTTACTGGACTCTCTCAATTGCACAGGAGAGATAGGCAAGCCTCTCCTGTGCAATTGAGAGAGTCCGGTAAAGTACTGGCTGAGGCGCCTCCCCCTCCTCCTCCCAGGGGGAGGGAGGGAACAAGCCAGAGCTTGCTTCCTGGCCAGGCTGCCTCATTCGTATACAGAAGACAAAGGAAAGCCTTTCTTTCCTTTCACTGGCCGAGGCTCCTCCATGAAGGAAGGAGGTAGGGAACAAGGGAGAGTGTGCTTTACTCGGCTGCCTCAATCATACAGGAGAAATACCAAGCACCTTTTAAGACTAACAAAATTTTGTTCAAGGTATGAGCTTTTGTGTGCCTTGCTACAGTGTGTGTGTATTCCGTTGGGCTCCTTATGCTGTGTGTGTGTGTGCTTTGTTGGGCTTGTTATGCCAGGGCTCTCTTGGGTGCAACTGGGTTCCCTCCCCCTTTTCACTGTATTCATGCCCTCATGATGCAGTCTTTCTCAGGAAGAAAGCAATGTGAACTATTTAGATAAGGAATACCAACAAGCCAGTGAAGTGGATTAGACTGAGAGTGTGTGTCCTGACCAAGTTCACCCAGCACATTTCCTTTGTAGGCAGTTGTAGTTATTTCTCTGGGGAAAAGTATAGTTTTGTAGACAAACAGCCCTCATTCTATGTCAGGATGCCTTTGCGTGTTCTTGACCAGCATATGAAGCAATTTTATGTACAAAAGCTTGCAATGCCCAGCCATTTCATGTTTTCCCTTGGGTCCTAAGCTCAGAACACTGAGCATGAGATTTCTGTAATGCCTGTCAATAAATCAAAAGTAGGTTTGCAGCTTACAGATACACACCAGAACACCATACTCAGGATTGCTACAGCACAAGACATTTTGATGCAATAATTCAGAGCAAGGGGTGTCAGTTATCAGAGACTGTTAAATAAACAAAATATTGCAAAAGTACTAATATTTTAAGAATGTTTTATTTAAAGTTTTAAAAAATCTTTGTGTTTGCCTGTGCCCCTTATAAAGTTTATATCTCCGCAACCTGGCATTACATTTTATTACACACGTGGCACGGCCCAACAAGGTCTCATTTATGTCAGATCTGGCCCTCATGACAAATGAGTTTGACACCCCTGCCCTAAACACTAGAGAAAGCTCCACAGCTCCCCATAGGGTACAAGTGGACTAAACCACTCTTTCAGCCATATTTACCGCAGCTAGACTTTTAGCAGGCTGTCACTTCTCCAACAAAACCTTAAAAATACACTTGCCGATGAGGGCTGAGAGCATGTCCAGGAGGCATGGAATGACAGAGCAGCTGAGAGTCAATTAAAGGGAAGGAGGAGGAAAGTGGAATTAGTCTGCTCAGTCCGCTGAGAACTTAGAGAAACCTGCCAGGAGAGAGTGAGGGGTGGCCACAGAGACTTCCAAATTATTCCTTCTTCCCACAATTCTTTGCAGGTCCCCTGTTTATACAAACTGGAACTGAACACATCTCAAGGAAATAAACCTAGGCCTCCATACCTCTGTGATTCGCCCAACCACAATGTCGCCAACTTCGCCGTTATACCTGACCAGAAAGAAAAAAGTTTAAGACAATTCCTCAAAACAGACTTTTCCCCACTCCATGAATCTCCACGCCAGTTCTACAAATGGTGCTGTGAATACCATCTGCCCTTTGTGAAAACAGAGGAACTCAGCAGGGAGAACGCAATAAGAGGCCCCTCCAGAAAGACTGGTGGTGGCGGAAAGCGCTGACAGGGCGCAGCTGACTTCTGGTGACCCCTCGTGGAGTTTTCAAGGCAAGAGACCTTCAGAGGTGGTCTGCCACTGCCTGCCTCTGCACAGCGACCCCAGAATCCCCATCCAAATACTGACCAAGGCTGACCCTGTTTTGCTTCCAAAATCTGACGAGGTCAGGCTAGTCTGGGCCATCAGGTCAGGGTCCCCGTCTCTGTGGTGGTGGTGGAAATGCCGACTTAAGTTACAGCAACCTAGTAGAGTTTTCGAGGCAAGAGACACTCAGAGGTGGTCTGCCATCTCCTGCCTGGTGGTGGCGGAAAGCGCTGACAGGGCGCAGCTGACTTCTGGGAGCCAGTTTGGTGTAGTGGTTAAGTGTGCGGACTCTAATCTGGGAGAACCGGGTTTGATTCCCCACTCCTCCACTTGCACCTGCTGATGTGACCTTGGGTCAGTCACAAGCTCTGGCACAGCTGTCCTTGAAAAAGAGCAGACTGTGTCAGAGTTCTCTCAGCCCCACCCGCCTCACAGGGTGTCTGTTGTGAGGAGGGGAAGGGAAAGGAGTTTGTAAGCCGCTCTGAGACTCCAAGTGAAGGGCAGGGTATAAATCCAATCTCTTCTTCTCTCTTCTTCTTCTGGTGACCCCTCGTGGGGTTTTCAAGGCAAGAGACCTTCAGAGGTGGTCTGCCACTGCCTGCCCCTGCACAGCGACCCCGGAATTCCTTGGTAATCTCCCATCCAAGTCCTAACCATGGCTGGCCCTACTTTGCTTCCAAGATCAAATGAGATAGAGCCAGCCTGGGCCATCCATGTCAGGGCCCAGAAAGATCACCTCTTTCTGGAACTGAAGCTTTATCATGCCCAGAATTACGTAGTTTTTAAAAAGTTGCTACACAGTATTTCATAGTATTTTATCAGTCTTACGTTGAAACCATAAGAGGTTTTGGTACAAACTATGGCAGAGTGGAGCACTGGCCATTAAACAGGTCCACCTGCCAAAAGCAGAGACAACCTACGACCTGCATTCAGACAGCTAACCATACACAATCCACAGTCCTCAGGTTTATGCGTTCTCATGTGCAGATCCTCAAAACTTCCTAGCTTGGACAAAACAAGGCAAGGCAAAGCATCACAGAGCTGTCATTTCATCCAATTTGAACATCGTGGCAAATTGCAGTTTGTTTCAAAGCGGGCAGTTTTCAGTCTATTTGTTTTCTGCATTCCCATTTTTCTCCCTTGTAAGTTCCTGTTTCTCCAGGTTTCCCCCCTGTTCCATTTGTCTTCTGCTCCCTCTAGTGGTCGACTTGATATTACATTGCTTTTCATTTGGCATAAAAACCTGCAGGGATTAAATCTGCAGGGAGATATGCTGAACACAAAGTGATGTAATATCGCAACCACTAGAGGGAGCAAAACATGTGGAACAGAAAAAGAACCTGAAGCAACAGGAACACACAAGCAGAACACACAAGCCAGGAAAATGAGAATGTGGAAAAGCCCTTTATGGCACACAAGAAAAGGACATGCAAAGCTGAGGACTTCCAATGCTCATGCTCCAACTGAACATACGACTGCTTGTTTGGGCTTCCAAAAGCTGGCAGAAGATCAAGTAAAGCACTTGAGGAAGCTAACGGCCTAAAAGCTCTTCACTGCTCTCAACTGACAAACTACGATATTAAAACTAATTATTAGCTAGTTTGATTCTGTGCACTTAATCTTTAATGAAGAAGCTTTAATTTCTCTGCAGGTGTTAAGCTAGCACAACAAAGCTTGACCAGAATAAGGACTGCTGTGAACAGTCACCTGTCTCGGACACAGCTGAGCTTTGCCTAGAAATTACCTCTTGAGTTCAATGGCATTTTGGCCCCATTGTCCACATATATTCTGCCATGCGTTTCTATATAGAATCTGCACATTGGGGGCAGTTAATTCACATATCTCAGATGAACACATCTCCAGACCATGAAAATGATACCCCAACGTATCAGTTAGCTGCCATAAGACTTTGCTGTAAGAAACCCGCACAGCTGCCCTGCTGAAACTCAGGAGTCTCACCTTGTTTTCAGAGCTTTCACACAGACCAGCTTGTTCACCCTGTCCACCACACCAGCCACGGATGCCACGAGCTTCTCGTTGCCCATGTATGTGCCATGACCCCTGTGGAGAAATAGAAAAGACCCCACTGTGAACACAGAGCTTGCAGGATTTCAGATGCCTGCTGCACCTCCTGATCTATGTAATTACATATGCTATTTCTAAAACTATACAGTGCTTGAGGTTTATGGGGGGGTACTTTAAAAAAAGATAACTAAGAGCAGCCTCAGTAGAACACTGGAAAGTGATGAGCAGTGGTAGACAAAAATGTTTTGCCTTCTCCAATGTTAGACCCAATGAAACAGGTAAGGGATAGGTTCAGGGAAGACAACATGAAGTACCTCTTTACGCTGTGCCATTAATTTACAGAAATCATCATCAGAAAACCTAGCAATGACCACTGGTTTGAGAAAGGGACTAGGCACATTCATTTTGCTAGTAGGTGTGACAGCCAAAAGGAACCTCTACTCTGAGAACACCAGAAGAGCCCTGCTGGATCAGACCTGTAGTCCATCTTGTCCAGTATCCTGTCTCATGCAGCAGCCAGCAACGCCCACTGATGGTAGTTTTCAACAAGCAACCGTTTTCAGAGCCCTCTAGATCAGCAGTTCCTAACTTTTCCAGTACGGTGACCCACAAGGCCAAATATTCTTGGTATGGTGACCCATCCAGGGCTGGCCCAGGGGTTTGCAGGGGGACGCAAACTATGACCTTGGCACCCATCTAGTGCAGCACTCCTTTTTCTACAGGGGCTAACCAGACGCTTTTGAGAAACCAAAAAACATCAGACAAAGGGCACAGCTGGCCCCACTGTGAACCCCAAGCAAGTGGCATTCCCCTTGCAATATTGAGGACGCATTCCAGCCTCTGAACACCCTTCTGCATTATCCCCTCTAATCCCCCCACTGATTCTAAGAAACTCACTCCAGTAACTATCAGGGCACATTTTACTTAATCAAGGTGCCCGTGCAGTGAAGAAAAAATATGCCCACTAATAATGCATGGAAAATGCTGTTTCCAGGGTCAAATCTGGGTTTCCAAAATACAAAAGAGAGCAATGGAAACGTCGGGGGGGGGATTGGCTGACTGGCCCACAACCCACTTGCAGAGGCTTTGCAACCCACCTTTGGCTGGGATACTCTGCTTTAGACATGATGGTCCCCCTTAATCACCACAGGTAGTAGGGACTGACAGACTACCCTCCCTGAACAGCTTTAAAAGGGGATCAGATAGATTCACGGAGGATAGTCTATCAGGGGCTACTAGTCCTGGTGCCTGAGAGGCGCCTCCACAGCCAGAAGCAGTCGACCTCTGGATCCCAGAGCCAGGAGGAAACTTCAGGGAAAGGCCTTGGCCTCTGTGGGCCCCTGCATGTGACAGGACTAGAGGGATCCTCAGGGGTCCGATCTGGCGGGGCCCCTCTGAAGATCAGTCCTTGGGAACGCACCTGCGCCGTTTCGACAGCCACCTGCGGCGCCTCTGAACACCAGAGACAAGGCAAGGCCGCCGCCAGCGCTGGGCTCCGGGGTTGGTTGGGGGGATCCTGGGCGGCAGGGGGCTCTCTCTCCGTGGCCCCTCTCGGCCTGCCTCCCCGGGCGCCCCACACACAGGCAGACCCGGCCCACCTCGGAGAATGGTCTGAGCACTCTCATGATTTATTATTGTGGTCCTTCTAAAATATATCTGGATTTATTATACGTTAGTATTGTAGTAATAGTAGAACAACTGGAATATCACAAGAAAGTGACAAGGATTTGGGTATAGGATGTTACTGCTGACAAATTAATAGATGGCATTGTGAAATATATATCTGCACTGACAGTTTGTATTATTGTTCAAACAGCAATCTTGTTTATGTATACTGGATTTCTCTTTTAATAAAAATTATAAAAAAAAAAAGGAAGGAGCCCACTGCATCACAACAACCCTGTGGGGCGGGCGGCGTTGCCGCGCCTCCCACTTTCGCCACTGCCCTCCAGCTGGCAGAGAGATCAGCTCCCCCTCCCCGGAGGAAGTGGAGTCTCTGGCCCCGCCCCCTACCGGCTCCACCCCCCAAAGTCTCCAGGTATTTCCCGACCCAGACCTGGCAACCCTGGGGGGGACTAGGGTGAGGGGGGGGGGGAGAGGGAGCGGACCAAGAAGAGCCCCGCTCGCCAGCCGGCCGGGGAGGCGCCCGCGCCGCCCGCCCTGCTCCGGGCCGGCCTTCACCTCATGTATCCGGGGTCGGTGGTGATGGTGTCCCCCGGAGCCACCAGGTCCCTGCCGCCCTCGCCGGCCCCGCGGGGCAGACCCTGCGCCAGCCGCTCCCGCGCCGCCGGCAGCCGGACCTCCACGCCCGCCATCTTGGCTGCTGGGGCCGGCCCGCTGCTTCCGCTTCCGCTTCCGCCCCGGGCATCCTAGAGACGGCGCGGAACAGTCCCGCGCCCAGACAACCACTTCCGGTCGCCTTTCGGAGGCCGCCTCGCTGAGGGGCGGCAGGCAGGACAGCGTCGGAGTCCGGCGCCGCCTTCAGGACCAGCACAGTCTCATTCGGGGTCCAGGCGCCGGAGGAGTGGGCACGCCCAGGGAAGCTCGCACCTGGGACACACCTGTGTTGGCCTGACCGGGGGGAGGGGGGGAGAGCATCCTTCCGGGGACGCCGGGCCACGTGGCTCGTGGCCGCTTTTCGGATTCGCAGCTCGCTGCTGCCCTCCAGTGCCGGTTCCTGTGATTAAAACTTGGTTCCGGACGCCCCGTCTCTGCCCCTCCACTCCCTGCAGGATTTAGTCCATCCACTGATTGCATTACCAATTTGAAATCTTGTTAGTCTTTAAAAGGCCCTTGTTGTTGTTGTTGTTTTTAATTGCCAGGTATAATTAGCATCTCCTGCCAGCCGAGCAGTTAGAAAGCAAGAAGTTGCAAGTCGATAAATAGGGACCACTTCGGTGGGAAGGTGACAGCGTTCCGTGCGCGTTATGTCATGCCGGCCACATGACCACTGAGACGTCTTCAGACAGCGCTGGCTCTTCAGCTTGGAAACGGAGATGAGCACCGCAACCCTAGAGTCGGATTCGACTGGCTTTCGAGCAAGGGAAACCTTTACCTATAGTTGACATAGCCAGGAGTGGTGGAAGGTGCTTATGGAGACCCTGGAGGGCGGGGGTGTCGAACTCATTTGTTATGAGGGCCGGATCTGTCATAAATGAGACCATGTGTGTCATACAATGTGATGCCAGGTAGTGGAGATATAAACTTTATAAAGGACACAAACAAAGGATTTTTTTTTACTTAAAATTAAAAGATGCTTAAAACATTAGCTCTGTGTGCTGCAAACCTACTTTTGATTTATTTTCACCACAGAAATCTCATGCTCAGAGTTCTGAGTCTAGAACCCAGGTTAAAACATGAGATGGCTGAGCGATTGAGTCTGGTGAAGCAAGCGATGATGCAGCAGTAGAAGAACTGGAAGCAGGAGATGGTCAGTTCCACTGCGAGCCTGATGGAAGCCCTCTGGGGGCCTGATCTGGCCCCCGGGCTGCATGTTTGACACCCCTGCTGTAGGGTTTTCAAGGCAACAGGTATTCAGAGGTGGTTTGCCGCTGCCTTCATCCGCAGAGCAATCCTGGGTGGTCTCCCATCCAACTACTCACCAGGGCCAACCCTGCTTAGTTTCCAAGACCTGGTGAGACTGGGCTAGCCTGGGCCAGTCAGGTCAGGGCGGTCTCCTATCCAAGTACTCACCAGGGCCACCAGCCAACACTCCCTCCAAGCTGTCGAGTCTTGTGAGCAAAAATTCTACTTTGTGAGCTGCTGGCATTAAAGTTGTGAGCGAGCCATTTGGCTGCTGCATAAATTAGTTTGCTCTGGAGCCATCCCTTCCTGAGCTAAGGCAGAAATGTGTGAGCCGGAGGCTAAAAACTGTGAGCTACCTCACATGAACTCAGTTTAGAGGGAACACTGCCCCCAGCCCTGCTTAGCTTACGAGATCTGCCAAGATGTGGCTAGCCTGGGATGTGCAGGTGGGAAGGAATATAAGCAGGGCTCTTTCAGTAGTGGCTCCTTGCATGTGGATGGAATACCCTGTTCACCCGGGCTTTTAATTAAGGGACTGAATTTTAACAGTGTTTTAGCCTGGGAACTGTTGTTTTAAGGTCTGTTTTTATCATCTATGGTTTTATGCTAGGCTGGGGCTTTTTTAATTGCTGGGCTTTAATATCTTCTAATGTTTTTATTACTTTAATTTTGTAAGCCACCTCGGGCAGGTTCCTAGAGAGGCAGCACAAAACATTCTAAATAAATAAGTCCATGAGTGACAGGGCACTCCAGCATTCCGGGTTAAGATTGCCAACCACCAGGTGGGGCCTGGAGATCTCCCAGTATTGTAGCCCACCTCCAGACTACAGAGATCAGTTCCCATGGAGAAAATGGCTGCTTTGGAGGGTGGACTCTGTGGCATTAGACCATGTTGTAGGTCACGGCTGTTTTTGATTTCTGAGCTTGACTGATGCCTGGGGGTGCTGGTGGTGGAAGCATCATTGGAGCCCAGGAGAAATCAATTAAGTCCATTTGGTCTTCTGGAGGGAGTCTCCCTGTCCTGGGCTTCTGTCTGCGTTGGTTTTTTAAAATTTATTTATTTAACTTTAGACTTGATATACCGCCCTAACCCCCGGGGGGGTCTCTGGGCGGTTCACATATATTGCGTTCTAAGAACTTGTACTCCTAACTTGGGCCACATCTAATGTTGGGGGTGGGACTGCCTACCAGCACCCTTGGTGGTGGAATCTTTGATGGTCTCTTCTGGCTGCTGGCCCAGCTCGGCGTCTAGCTCGATCTCTTTCCTGGCGGCTGGATCGACACGGTGTCCTCTAGGTCTTCCTGGTTGCTGGCTCTGCACGGCGTCCTTCAAGGCCTCTGATGTTTCCACGGCAACCACCGGCAGGATAGCGCAGGCGCACGGCTCATGTGTGCTTCCGGCCCCGGCTCCGTCCATCAGGCACCGCCGTGCCTGCGTCACACACCGACGCGCGTCTCTCGCCTCCGCCGTCGCTGCTGCCCGATGCCTTTCCCCTCCGGCCACCAGGGATCGCTCCGTCTCCGCCAGCACTCGACACCGCGCCGCCATCCACGCCATCTGCACCGTCCATGCCGTCCGCGTCGCCACCACACGTCCTCATCAGAGGTGGGTGCCCCCTACCCATCTAAGGGTAGGTACCCATTTGTCTACTCGCATGTTAGATGTTAATTGCTTTTGAGCCGCTGGGTTGGTGGGAGCTGGGACGAGGACCGGGAGCTCACTCCGGCCGCGGTGGTATTCGAACAGCCGCAATGGCTGCTCCTGGTTGTTAAAGCAGGTGTTTTACCACCTGCGCCACTGCTCCCTTTTGTTTCCACATTACATTCAGGTCACCCCAGTTTCACCTCACACTTGTCCCAGGATAAACAGATGCTGTTATAACCAGGGATAAATGCAAGGTACTGTGTCATGAGCTGAACTGTGATAAAACCAGGGATGAGATCCAAGTCCGGAAAGGACCAAAAAGCCTAATCTAATGTCAATGAGAGACCAGCAGAGACATGTTGTCTCCATGGGAGGCCACGTGAAGAGAGAGTGAGAGGACACAATAAGAGAGAGAGGAGGCATCAGAGGGCAGCTTCCAGGTTAAGACAAAGAGAGACATCCCTTTCAAGTAGGTAACACCTATCCACTCTTAGGATGATGTAGCATCCCTCAAAGTCCAGGCATGCTGAGTCACTCACTCCAACAGGGCCCACTACAAATAGTCAACATACTCAAAGCATATTATCAGTATGTATCCAGCCGTGGAGTTCAAAAGACTTAACGGCACAACTTCAGAAAAGAGTTCAGCGATTTCACAGATCCCCTCACACTTATACAGGCCTCTCCCCACCCTTCTGATGATGTTGCCTCTTCCTGGGCCAGGCTGAACTGCTTGGTTGCATTAACAAACAGAATGCTAAGGAAAATGTATTGCAACAGTTTTAAAAGGATCAATAACTATAAAATTACATATTTTCACAATCATATGAAATTACTATTAAGAAAATAGTCCCAAACCAACATTTAATAACTTCCCAAGAAGTAACTTCACCTTTGTTTGAAAGGATCTCTAATAATTACATTGGTTAACAGCATTTACCTGCAATAATTCAAGGCAGGCCTTAACACAGCAAAATCTATACAGGCCTTCTGATGATGTTGCCTCTTCCTGGACCAGGCTGAACTGCTGGCTGCTGGGAATACCCAGCCTCCTTTAGGGAAGGCTACAAGCACTGAGCATGCTCCATTAAGTATAGGAGGGGAGAAAGGGAGTTAATTGCCACACCACCTATTGGCAAAAGCAGGCGTGCCTGATCCCTGTATGCTGTTAACAGCTACAAAACTGCATAGGTTACAATAGCATGGTACTATAACTCAGCATAATCACATTCAATAAATTTTCCATTTGCTCTACAATATGACAAGAAATCTCTCACCAATTGTATACCAAAAGATCTGTAAACTGGCCATTTCTGGCCCCCTGGCAGTGGGTATTCTGGCCATTGCCTCATACAGTGTTTAACCAGGGTGCCAGCTGGGTGCAGCAGAGTCCCCCACGGCACGACATTTATGCCAGGCAGCTTGGCAGTGGCCTCAGGTGATGCAGGAGGAGGGGGTTGGCAGGCACCCGAGTCCCTCTCAGGCCCATAGCCAGGAAATTTTAAGGTAAAGGTTTCCCTTGCTCGAAAGCCAGCCGAATACGACTCTAGGGATATGTCAGCAAGCTGCCAATTGATATTTTGGGTTCTGATCATGTTTTCTGTATGCTGTCAATTATAATGCACTTGATGTCTTTCCCCCCCCCTCACTGGTCAGCGCTTCTGCATTCATGCGCATGCCTAAACACTGCCTGCTTGTTAGAAGTTATTATGCTCTGTTATCTATCTCAAGGTCACAGGTGTTGGACTGGAATCCTCTGTGCTCCAGTTTAATGAGAACTGCTTTGTAGTAAAAACAACCTGGCCGTTTGTATCCCGGGAAAATAGCCGCGCAAAAGAGGCTTTTGGCTCGAGCAGGAATTATAACCATTGGCTGTAACCATTTTGAATTTGCTTTATGCTTCCCCTCCCTGGGGTCTCTGGTTATTCTGAACAGAGAAGCTGTTCAGTGATTCATGTCTATCAATAAAAGTTATCCTTTCTATAAGAGTGACTACGTTGAATTCATGAACCCTGACATACTGTTCAGAAAACAGTGCGGGGGTACTCGGCTGAGTTCAAACTCCACGCCTCTAAGCTATCGACCTGGCCAGACCACATTCTGGCTGAAATGTATCGGGTCAGCTTGAACCAGGAGGTCCGAGAG